ACTAGGACTGGTGGTTCTGATCCGTTAGCACTAGGACTGGTGGGGTTCTGATCCGTTGACACTAGGACTGGTGGTTCTGATCCGTTAGCACTAGGACTGGTGGGGTTCTGATCCGTTGACACTAGGACTGGTGGTTCTGATCCACTGACATGTTCACTGGCAGATATTTAGTTTTAGGAGATGAACTGAGGATGTAGAACCGGTTCCGGCCTCCTGCAGCTGATCCAAGATGTTCTGCTGACGTGGAGGAAGATTCTGGAAACGAACCGAAGCGACGGAGAAAAGCTGTGATTAGACAAACGAACCTGATTAATTAAATACTGAAATTAAAGGCCCAAAGTGTTCTACATTTGATCTAATTTAGATTTAAACTATTTGAAACGTCAACGTAAAGGTCCGTAGTTTGGTTCCCTGATTGTTTAACAACAACAACAACAACAACAACAACAACAACAATAACAGTAATGTCATTTTGTTTCTAGTTTGTGTTGTTTAGTTTTTAGTTTTTGTCATTTTTGTCTAGTTTTAGTCATTGTTTGTGTGTTTTGTCCTGTTCTGTCTGGTTTGTGTCTTTTATTTAGTTCTTTCATAAGATCTCCATCCTGCTGACAGAACCGTCTCTGAGTCTCTCCTGCTTCTTGTGGTTCTGGTTCCTCAGAGCTGCAGGACTTTAGTGAAGCTTGAACCTCAGAGGGTTAAAACGAGAAGCTGCTGAAGGAAGCTGAGGCGTATTTCTGGCAGCTCGTCAGATGTAATTTGAGGATGAAGGTGTTTCTGAGCGTAACCTCGCGGGTTCCTGGAGGTTCCAGAACAATGGGATCAAAGTTCGGCTCCACCCAGAGTCCAGGTTCTGGAGACTTGAAAGTGGCCGTAAAAATTTGTTGTTTCCTGTTTTGTGGAGAAAAAAAAGAAAAAGCTGCAGAGTCTCAAACTTTGCTGCAGCAGAAGCGTCTGTGGTGACCTCCATCTGAGCAGCTTCCATCCAGATGTTCAGTTTGTGCTCCTCGTTGGTTCTCATCTAAACACAATAAAACATGTTTAGAACGTTTATGAAACTACGTTCAGCCTGTTGGAGCTCCACAAGCTGCAGAAACAACCTTCACTCAACACTGTGTTTGTGTTTCTGTCTGCAGGATGTGGTCGCTGCAGCTCCCACAGAACAACCCAGATCTTCTCCTCCATGCAGCTTCTCAGCATCAGAACCACAATCCGGTCTGGACTCGGTGTCGGTGACGCTCAGAACGTCCGGATCCAACTGCTCCTTCATCGTCACGTCTCCGGACGCCGCCGCCGACCAGACCGAGTGCATCAGGAGGAGGACGGGAGGCGAGGAGGACGTGGAGACCAACGAGACCCGAGGAGCCGACGGGGAACCGAGCCACGTCTTCAGCTGCGTTCTGGATCATCTGGAGCCCGGAACCGAGTACCTGCTGCAGGTTCAGTCGACGGGAGGCGACGGAGCTGCAAACGTCACCGTTCAGACCAGTAAGTCCATCCAGAGGAACAGGGTTGTACTGGGAGCACTGGTGGCACCAATGTCTGCTGGTTCTACTGGTTCTGTTTTAATCAGAAAGCATATTGATTTCTGATTGTGTTCCTATGAACTGGCCTCAGACTGAACTGTTCATAGACGCTGTAGTTTACCGATGTTCCCTAAATGCCTCACGCCAAGCAGCCCCAGACGAGTAGTTTAAAGACCGTCGGAAAGTAAAAACTCTGGTCAGTCCTTCTGTTTTTACAGTTTCTGGATGATAAATGGAGTTTTTTTTGTTCCAGGTAATTAATAAATCGACTGTTTTATGCTAAACTGTAGTTTTGCCTTTTCCTCGTTTCTTTCTTGTTTTTATTTTTTTTCTTTTTTCCCCCAAATCTGACAAACGGATGTTTTATTTTTGGCAAATTTTAAAAACGAGACGCAGAATCAAACACTTCTGATGGAAAAACACGAAGCTGAAAATCAAATCTTCCTGTTTTTACAGTTTCTGACTGATGAATGGAGCCATTTGGGGTTTTTTATTTTATTTTTTATATGAAGATGTTTTGGTTTTGCGACCCAGATATTTAATCTACTGACGTTTTGCAGATTTAAGGCGGCTCCAGGCTGCGACTGAACGATGATGATGAAGCTGCAGCGTTAGCGTCGCTGTAACCGACAGGAAGCTGCAGCGTTCACCGCTGTGGTGGAACCAGAACTTTCTAGCTTCAGTGTTCTGAACTATTTAAGTTTTAAAACGAGGTGATCTAAAAACGAAGCGCAGCTGCAGTCGCTGGTTTTTCTGCTCACAGAGAAGAAAAAAGAAAATCATGTGGTTTCATCTAATCTGACCTCAGAGCCCCAGTTTGTTCTTATTAAAGTCATTTTAGGTCAAACACCTGTCAGAGCACCACAGGTGTGGGGCGTTTAGGGAACATCGTAAATTATAGCGTCCATCGATAAGAACATGTTCAGCAGGTCGTATGTCCACCTGTGACCAGGTGGGAGGTGAAATGAGAAAGTTGGTCTGGAGTCCTGATAAAAGGATGAAAATCTGTAAAACCTGTAAACCCACTGAACTCAGCAGCAGAGTTTCCTGGTTTTCTCCAGAACCTGGTTCCATCGTCTGTTTTATTTTGTAATGAAGCGATTATGATGCAATATCATGACTTTTAGATCAGATTTTCCCGATGAAACCAACGAACTGCTGCAAGGAAAGTGATAAACGACCATTTGGGGGATTTTTTGTTAGTTTTTTTGTAGTTGTTTGCTAGTTTGTGTTGTGATGTGTCTGGTTTTGGTCGTTTTGTGTCTGGTCTGAGTTGTTTTTGCCTTTTTTGTCATTTTTTTGTGTAGTTTTTTTGATTTTGTGTGTTTCTTGTCTTGTTTTGTCTGATTTGTGTTTTTTTCTGCCTGGTTTGTGAAAGTGAATTATGACGCATTAGAAGTATTTTTAGATCAGATTTTTCCAACTAAACCAACGATTTGCTGCAGGGAAGGTGATAAACGGCCGTTTGTGGGATTTTTTAAAACACACCATCTTTCCAACCTGCTGGTGGGTTCAGAGGGTTTAATATCAGACACGTGGTCTGAAGACGATGAATCTGGTTCTCGTCTCCGCTGAGCGCTGGACGTTGAACAGACTCAGATCTTTGGTTTCCTGCGACCTCGGAGGGTCTCAGAGTCCACGTCGTGGAGCTTCCCTCCTCTGCGTTGCTGCGATTAGCTGCAGGAACCTCTGACCCGCTGAGGGACGGCGATAGAAAACCCCATGATTGTGTGCGAGTCGCGGGTCGCCGCTGGCCCACGTCCAGAACAGAAGTTGGACCCTTGGAGTGTATTTCCATCGTGGGCTGAGCTCCGGCTTCAGACATTTCCTGCCTCCATTGTTTCTTTGTTCTGTGGGAAACGCTGGGAAAAGGGCGTGGGGGGTGTGTTGTGTTTGTGTACACCAGTGTGTTGTGTTTGTGCGGGTTGTGTTGGGAGGAAGCGGCGCCCAGTCGAGTCCCGGCGGTAACCTTCTCAGCGATGCAAACACTTGTGCCGAGGCGTTTGTGGCTTCTTATCTTTCGGAGCAACGCCGACCGTTACATCCACTGACCTTTACGGCAACACAAAACCTCTGCCGGAGTATTTTTACTTCTTTTAGCTCCTCGAGACGCCGTCGCGAGTGTTAGTGAGACATTAAAGCTGCATTAATTAAACTAAATACCATACGACGAGCCTTTATTAATCCCAGTGGAGAAACCTGCATTGTTACAGCAGCAGACAATGAAAACATGAACTAATATCAGCAGGAAAATAAAAATAAAACAAAACTATACATCAGGTTGTTCTAATTCCTCTGGATGGAAATATCAGCAGCAATGTTTGGACCTGACGTTTTCCCCCAAACAAGTAGTTTTTGCTCCGATACGATTTGAGTGATTTAATATTTAATATCTGCAGATATCGAGTCCCAGTCTGATGCTATTTTTCTCAAAAATATGCACTTAAATGACATTAGAGTTTTAAAATCAGGACGTGAATGTACTTGATGGTGAAACTTGACATCTTTAACCTGATCTCATCAAAGTCTGCAACCCAACCTTGACCCAGATTTCCCACAATGCATCTCTCTGACAGGATTTAGTTTGAATGTTTGTGACAAAAAACACCAAGTTTCAACCTCCGTCGTCACTCACTGGGCTTTAAGTTGAGCAATTTAGGAATCAGAGAGAGTTTGTTTGGACATCAGGAATACAGCGTACTGCACAAAATAATCCTGTATGCCAGAAACGTTTAAAAAAAAACCCCAAAAAACGATTTATAGGTGCAGAAATTTCACAAAACATATGCTGCTGCAGAAACAATAGATAATATAGACATTGATAATTGTCGTATACTTGTAGCACAACAACAACAACAATATTGTAAATACAAACATACTGCACACAAATGTCTAAACACTGTTTGCTAAACTTACTGAAGCTTATTTGTGAAGTAAATTTTCCACACAGGAGCAGCTGGAAGCGTTTTATATGATGCATAAAGAACAACAGAAAATGCAAGAGAGAGACTTTAGAGACGATGAAAAGTTGTTCCACCCAAAATTAAAAAAACAACAAAAGTGGTGTAAATGCAGAGAAGTTTAAGATGGTTCATGTTGAGTATCTGAGATTGTTTTCAGTCTGTAACGTGGATTCAGACGTGGTCTAATTGTGCGTCTTTGTGTTGAACCAGAGCCGTCGGCGGTGCTCGGCCTGGCGGTGACCTCCAGCTCCTCCAGCAGCCTGGGACTTTCCTGGCAGGCCGGCCCTGGCAGGACGCAGTGTTTCAGGCTGCAGCTCTGGGAACATCCTCGGAGTCCGGATCAGTCAGGTACGTCTGTCGGGTTCCTACAGATACGCACCATCAGCTGTAGAAAGATGTTCCACCATCAGATGTAGAAAGATGTTCCACCATCAGATGAATGTATCTCCACCAACTGGCTCCTCTGGTCTCTGGTTCTGATCCATGCTGCATCTATTCATTGATCCAGTAAGATGGATTCTCCTTCAGGCTCTCTGAGGAAACTCTGGGACTCAGAGGATTAATTCGCGTTAAATCTTGTGCAGCCGTTGATGATCTCCAGAGGATGAATCGATTCTCATCTTGAAGTTTTAATGTCTTTCTGACACTGTGGTTCCAGAACAGATCTAAGGACTTACCCATCAGCCCCGACTGCACTTTGTGTTTATCATTGTGTAACAAATGCTAACATGCTAAGCTAACTGGATGACAGTTGTAAACAAACAAACAGTCATGTGACCTTTTCTTCTTCTGCTGCAGGTCTGCTGAAGAACGAGACGTTAGAGAGCACGACGACGCATCACACCGTCACCGGCCTGTCGCCGGGGCGACAGTACAACGTTACCGTGGTGACGGAGGCCGGAGAGCTTCAAAACAGCTGGACGATCGAGGCTCGGACAGGTAGAGAGAGAGGAGGAAAGGAGAGAAGGAAGGAGGAAGGAAGGAAACAAGGAAAAAATGAAGGAGAAAATGAAGGGAAGAAAGGAAGGAGGAAGGAAGGAAAGAAAAAAGAAAGGAAAGATGGAAACTAGGAAAGAAAGAACAAGGAAAGAAGGTAGGAAGGAAACAAGGAAAAAGAAAAGGAAAGAAAGAAGGAAGGAAGGAAATAAGGAAAGACGTAAGAAGGAAACAAGGAAAAACAAAAGGAAAGAAGGAAGGAAGGAAACAAGAACAGTAGGAGGGAAGGAAAAGAACAAGGGAACAAAGAAGGGAACACAGAAGTAAACAGGATATCGGGTTTTATTTTTCTCTTTAGCGCCCTCTGCAGTTTCCAACGTCACCGTCAACAACAACAACAGCACAAGCTTGCGGTTGTCGTGGCAACAGCTGGACGGCGACCTGGACGCGCTCATCGTCGCCCTCTCGTCCAATCAGACAAGCCGCTGGGAGACGACTCTGCCTCCGGACGCCACCGACGTCACCGTCCACCATCTGATCCCCGGCTCGGCCTATCGGGTCACGGTGACGTCCTGGAGCGGCGGGTTGACGAGCCAATCAGAAGTCAGCATCAGAACAGGTGAGACGAGGACATGAAGCTCTCCTGTTTGATGTTTTTTCTTCTTCTTCATCTCGTCTTCGTCTCGTCTCCAGCTCCATCGGCAGCCTCCTCCCTCGTCCTGTCTCCTGCTGCCTCCGGTGGCCTCCTCCTGACGTGGTCGCCTCCTGCTGGTCACTTTGAGAACTACACCCTGCTGCTGTTCGATGGCTCCCAGCAGGTAGTCAGCACCGCTCTGCCCCGGGAGGCAGTGAACCACAGCCTTCCTGGGACGGGACTAACGCCTGGGAGGCTGTACAGAGCCGTGCTGAGGGTGGAGAGCGGAGGACTGACGGCTGAGAGCAGCTGCGAGGGTTCAACAGGTCCGAAACACATCAGAAATAATATGTACCGCCTCAAAAATATGTCATGCATGTACTTATATATAGTACTGCAGAGCTATTATAGCAGAAATCTGACATTCATGCAGTGAAGTGGGTTTTTTTTTTTACTGTGGAAACACGACAGAAAGCAACAGGAATATAATGAAAATGTAGTTTTACAACTACATTTTCATAAATCCATATAGAAAATAATGCAGCAAGTATAACTATATTATAAAGGAAAAATGTATTACTCCAGTGTTAAATGAATATGTTTGTAATATTCCCCAAACAGAGTGCAGAAACATAACAGAACCATATTTATACCTTAACAAAACATTTGCTACTGCATAAGAATTGGACAGATAATAATGTTTTACAGAAAATATAAACAATTAGCACAACAACAAAAAAATCCCCAGAAAGACATGCTTAGTGTAGATTAATGTAGAAATGTATTAATGCAGCTATATCACTTCTAAAGTATATCAAAAAGTAAAGATTAAGAAACACATTTTAAAAAAAATATATAACAGAAAAATATACAAAATGTTCATATTTATATAGAATATGTGACATAAAATACCAAAATTCTATGAAACAAACCCTCAATATATTCCAGAAAATATATCATAACACGATTTGTTTTTACTATTTACATACATCCTGTAAAGTAAATGCAAAAATGTGTCGCTTCTAAGACACGAGACAGAAAATATCTAGAGAAATGTTTTACAGAAAAGTATATAATGGTACAGAGAATAAATATATAACACAAAAATATGCACACAATGAGTATTGATATAGCAATACGTGACAGAGATTGTGTTTTATTTCAGAATTATGTGACAGTAGGTGCAGAAACATATTAAAAAAAAAATTAAAAATATATGCAACAGATTATACAGACGTCTACATGTTCACAAATATATGATGGTTAAAATAAATTAGTATATTAATGTAGATATCCATAATTGACAGACAGCATGTATTAGTATCACAGAAGTGCATAAAACAGTTTATTGCTACAGAAAAGCTGCTGAAGGAGTTCAGTTTCTACCTGAACCCACCTGATAATGAACCGCCACACTTCTGCAGCTCCTGCTCCGGTCTTGGACCTTCACATTCGACATTCGGACGAGACCTCGCTCAGCGCCATGTGGAGCCACGCCCCCGTCGGGTCACGTGACAGCTACTTCCTCACCATTAGCCACGGTAGTGACACAGCACCCCTGAGTCGGACAGAAATATTTGCTTCGGAATAATGATTTCAGAGAGTTCAAGATGTGAATTTATGAGCCTCATATTGGAAAATTGAATCTTGATCCATTAAAAGTTCGAGCTGGACGATTTCTCATTGCTGTAGCTGCTGCTGTTTTCAGGTAATGTCACCGTGGATACCAGGGAGGTGGAACCAAACATGAGGGAGTGCACGTTCAATGTGCTCACACCTGGACGGCAGTACACTATCACCGTGACAACCAGGAGCAGGAAGCTGAACACCTCAGTGTCTATCGAGGGCAGGACAGGTGAGTCTTCATCTCGCCCTGTGGGGACAAAATCAGTCCCGTCATAGGTGCAGGATGAAGCAGGTCCCCACATGGTTGAGCAGAGGGTTTGTTCAAATGTAGCAGATTGTACAGTAACATGAAATATTCAGGGTGTTACGTACTCGAAGCATTCAACAGAAAAGACATTACAGAATAAAATTAGGTGATTGTAATTAGTATAAATGGGACAGACCATTAAAACTCCTTTAAAATCATCAGGTCTTATATTTCTTATCATTTTTGTATTATAGTAGGATTTATCCCTGGTACACTTATTATGTCATGACACTTTTGTCTCACTTTTCATAATAAACTTCTTCTGCATTGTATTTCATGATGAAGTTATGAAAACGGGCAAATATTCAGTAACTGGGAGTCACAGAAATGCTTTTGTTTTTTTAAGTTGTAAATGCTAAGATAGTTTAACGTAGCCATAAAACCATTTCCACAAATAATCAATTATTATTTTAAGTCAAAATTTATTAAAACAATGAATGAATTCTATTGACACATCTATTAATAAAATAACCTGTTTGTGTGTTTTACAGTCCCGATGGCGTTGCGAACCTTCTCCCTGACCAACTCGGGCGTGGACAGCCTCCAGGCGTTGTGGGAGAAACCGCCCGGAGACGTGGACTCGTACGCACTGACTCTGCTGCAAGACAAGTGGGTCGCAGTCTGCGTTTAGCCTAGCTTAGCACGAATACTGGAAATACTGGTGGAGACTGTTAGCCGAGTTCTATCAGACAAGCAACAAGATGTATTTTTGTGTTTAGAAACAGAGCAACATGTTGACTCAGGACGTCAACAATAAAAGTTCCCCATTAGAGCCCAACGGCAGCAGTTTGTGGCCAAACTTACATCTCTTCTTCTTCTTCTTCTTCTTCTTCTCAATTAAATCAATCTTGGAGTATTTATTGCAGTGAGGTGTAGCAAGGGTGGCAAGTGTGACCATTTTGGCAAAAAAATAATTTTGAATTTACATGAAACATATTTGTAGTTACAGCTCTCTGTCCATATCTACACACACCGATCGTCTTTAAGTTACTCATGAACTAATTATTATATAAAAATATTGATATCTAGACATGTTGCTGTCTGTGCGGTGCAGTGATTGCATAGATATCACCATATCTCTGCAAACGTTTGCCATCTTTGTGATGAGGAAAAGTATGTGACCACTTTGTAAGGTATCTCACTCTGTTAAGAGATATGTTGTGAATTTGGGCTATAAAATAAAACTGAATTGAACTTAATTGAACACTAATGCAAATTAAATAATGACAGTTGTTTTATTAGCTAGTAATAACATATTTTGCCCAGTTTCTAAGTCAGGCTGTTTCCCACCAACCTTCTGCTCGACACAGTTATAAACAGATTTATCTGCTGCAGCATGTCATGGTGACATACATGTAAAACCATCAGTATCATGAGGGAAATGTGTTTATTTAAAGTATTACTTATTTAGGCTCCAGATTTGTTCATTTTTTGCAAAATAAATAATCAAAGAAATTCAACTTTTGCTTTAAAAAAAAGAAAAGAAGAAGAAGAAGGGTGGAACATGTTGGCTTTGTATCTGAAGAGAAGAATACTCGTTCTTTAAATCCCAAACTGTGCTTCTCCTCCACAGTGTTGTCATTCAGAACCACAGCGTTCCAGTTGGTTCTTCTTCTCTGCTGCTCAGTGGTTTGACGCCCGGCGCCCTCTACAGGCTGCAGGTCGTCACCGTCAGCGGACGGCTGCAGTCCAAAGCCACCAGTCTGAAGGCTCACACAGGTGACACCAGTCATCACACAGCAGACACAAAACTACAATTAAATCATTTCCTTCACTTCATTAGGCGACCACTGCACATTTTACTGAACCTGAAGTCCATTTTGAAAGTCTGTATTTTACCAGATGCATTAACTGCGTCTTTCTGTGCATTGTTAGAATAAACGTATTAACATTAAAACAAACTTGAGCTGCTTTCTGCTCAGGAAAACAGAAAAACTGTGAAGAGTTCACACACAAAGACACTCGACAGCTTATGTAAGGCTTTAAACTGTTGGCTGGTCGGACCCTTATTGTGTTGGGTCAATGTTCAGAAGCAGAACTTGTTTCCCCTCAAACACATTCAGCTGCTGTGAACAGGAAAACCTGAGTGACCCCGTTGACCAAACGACCAACAGACAGAACAGGAATATGAACAGTTTCTGACAAAGAGAGCTTCATCTGTAATCAAGACAAATCAAATCACCAGTTTATTATTAAGTATTTTTCAATTTGTAAATCAGAAGGATTTTACTTGTACAAAAACAGCTGATCATAACTGAACACCTTCACCTGATATTCTGCCGTATTTACAAACTGAAAACACATGGACTTCATGTCATATATGTAAATGAGTAAAAACGTCAAAACAGCAAAATCAAAGGGAAAACAATATGAGAAGTCATGTTGCTCCACTGCACTAATACTTATTTATACTTCGGTCATCATAAACATCATGATACGTGTTCTTCTAATGTCCAGGAGCTGTAACTGGAGCCAAAGGTTCCTTAAACACTTTTTCATGTGTTCCGTGTATCTTGCATTGTGTTAATTTGGACACATTTGAAAACATTTCTGCAACGTAAAACACATGTTTACACCAGACAGAGTTTCAAAAAGCAGTTTGAAGGTTCAGAACAGGGCTGTCGTAATATCTAACGGTTATTATGACCAAAGTAATTCACAATGTCGACAGAATATCTGGAGAAAAAAATACTATCAGTCAAAGTCAGCTTGAACTTAGTTAACTGTGTGTTTTCTTTCTTTTGTGGCAAATGAATTCAACACAATCACCTGGTTACTGGAGCTGGAGCTCCATTAGCAGTGACGGGCAGAGGTCGGTGCTCAGGTCCTCACAAGGATAGCCAGTCAAACTGTGTGTTATGCGATAACATCAGAGGTTTTCCAGAACAATAGCTGAAATACCGAAAAGAAGGTTGGAATGTTCCACAGACACACAAAGACACTCCCAGTGCTCCCAGCGCTCCCAGTGCTCAAAGGCTTCCTGCGCAAACACACACGCCGGTTCGTCTATCTTTGTGAGGACTATTAGTGGCATTCTCCGGCCCCAGACCCCCGATGGAAACCTCAGTCTAACCTGAACCCTGTTATCAAGACTGAGCCCTCAAACAGACCTTTGAAGCTCTGCTCCAGAGTGAAGACAAAAAAAATGTCCTCGCTTTCCACAAACGTCCTGACGAGGTCAAAAGATCACAATAGTCTCCACAAAGACACATACGTCAGTACGTCTGTCTTTGTCAGGGCTTCCTTCACTCTGCATTCTCCCTATCCCATTTAATTAAATCCGATCCCTCAAACACATCTTTGAAGCTCTGCGCCGAAGAGAAGACCAGAAAAAAAATGTCCTCAGTTCCCACAAATGTCTTCACAAGATCCAGAGCTCACAATAGTCCCCACAAAGACACCTACACAAACAGTCACACACTCACTTCCTGGTCAGGGACCTATTGTATTCCTAAAGAATGTCCTAGTTATTTTCAGGACACTGTGTGTGTGTGTTTTGTGTGTGTGTGTTTGTTATTCTGCCCTCAACCAATCAGCATTTAGCCTGGAGAAAAACAAAAACAAACCCCGCCTCCAGCCCCACAGATAACCTTTAACTGTTCTACAGTCAATATCGTTGATGTGGCTGAAGGTTAGTGTTTGGGTTCACCGAGTTTGCTCACGTTATCAAGATGACGTTGATCTGGTGTTCAGCTTTTATTGTTTGTTTGTTTGTTTAAAGGCACGTTTATCTTAAATAAAGGTATATGAAACACATTCCACCCAGATGGCTGCTGTACCTGAGCCTCGCTCTGTCTGAGGTGTTACTCTGGTATAGGGGAATGTTTTCTTCCTTATCTTTCCATGTGAGCTGCCTTGAGATGACACATGTTGTGAATTTGCACGACATAAATTAAACGGAATTGAATTGAAAAATGTGCAAACAACTGCTGAGATGTGTAAAAGAAATCTGTATTCACTATACGCATGTCAGAAAATGTATTGTAGATAGCTGTAGTACCTGGTTGTTCCACCAGGTGGAGCCTCTCACTGTTTAATCCTGTAGAGACCAGAGGAGGCGTCACTCACACTACAGCTCATGGTGGCAGCAGAGAGCATTGTGGCAAAGATTCGTGTGACAACCTGCAACTAGAACTAGTGTTAAGACAAACCAGAATCATCTATGACAACTCTTGTTATTGATCATTGATTGAGAATAGTGCTGACTATTAATTAAAGCAATTATTCAAAGTTTGCATCCCTAATGTCCTGCCACACACTGTGTTCTCCCTTTGTGACAGCGGACGTAAACAAAGAATCGGGCTTGGATTCAATACAGATTAGTTGAAAAATGCCTCGATCATGATTTTTGAGATCAAATCAGAAAACCTCGATTTCTTTTTATGTTATATTTTTAATTTTGTCTTACGACTCAAATAAAGCATCTTGAATACCACAAAAGTCCTGCATTATAACAACAACAATCATCTCTGACTTCCAGCGCCAGCGTCGGTCTCTGAGGTGACTGTTGCTAACGGCGGCCGGTCCGACGCCCTGCAGGTGTCGTGGCATCCCGTGTCGGGCGTCGTCGACAGCTACCTGGTCCGACTTCAGGACGGGAGGCGAGTCGTCCACACGTTGCCCGTGTCCCGATCCTCGCCGCCCGAGTGCTCCTTCAGCTCGCTGGTTGCCGGGCGACTGTACTCGGTCGTCATAGTGACGAGGAGCGGCAAACTGGAGAACGCCACCGTTGTCCAGGCTCGGACACGTAAGGATATGCTGAAAGTCTTGTTTACACTTTCAGACTCTGTTAGTCGGAGCTCTGGTTTAATTTCATTTGTGTTTCTAGCCGTTTATTTTTTTGTGTTTATTTGTACACTTTTCCCAAAATAAAACACAGATGATAAAGATTGGTCTGTATGTTACAGGTTTCCTAACATGTATTTTGTTCCACATGTTCCTGGTGTTTCTGTCTTCCAGAACCTGCCACTGTGCAAAATCCAACAGCTGTTCACTCTGCAAGAGACGACTTCCTCAAGGTGTGTCAGTATAACAACATTAACACTAGCTGACTTTAGGACAGGCAGAGAAAAGTGAGACCTTCAAGATTCTCCTGAGTGGAGACGAACATGACTTCACAACTGAGCTGAAATGACTATCAGAGCTGATGTTGCCCTTATGCCGACTTCCTAGCTTTGACATAGCATTTTCTAAAACCTGGTTAACTCTCTTAGAACATGTCAGATCCCTTCAGGTCAATGCAGTCCAAAACAGACTGAATACCAAATTGCATGTCTATCTTGTTGTTTCCATAGAGTCTGTGGGGCAAACGAGATGTTCTTACCCTCACATCTTGAAGTCATTACTGCCTCTGCCAATGTCTGGCTTATTCTACGTAATATTATCTTTGTTTCATCTGTTCAGTCATGTATGAGCATGTATGTGTTGTCATGTTCCAGCTGTTTCCTGAAAAGCTTTTGAGTTTAATTGTGAAATATTCTCATGCATCTATTTTTCGATGTTCTCAAAGGCAATTTAAACAAGAGAGTGTCTTTGAGATTTCTGGGGTAGAGTCGGGTATCGTCTGCATAAAGGCGGATGTTGTGCTTTATTAAATTCTGTCCTACACTGAAAATAGAACTGGGATGAATACTGAACCCTCAGGAGTTCTAGAGGGACTAGAGGGACCTGAACTCACCACAACCAACACAAGAAGTTCTACTTTGCATGTATGAAAGAAAGAATTTGTCAAGCACAATAACACGAGTAATGTTGGATCCGTAAGAAAGTCATTGTGTCAGTTAATAATAGAATAGTTTGAATAACTTTCGATGGCACCTTTCATGCAACACCCTCAGCTCAAAGTGCTTTAATGTAAAAATAAAGCAAAATACAAAATAAGTAAATACTGTTATGACATATATCGTAGTATAAGGTACTAGAATTAGTTTTTAAGACCATTTCTAAAGTGTATCTCTGTGTGAATTCTCTGGTGTTGTGTTTTCAGGTTTACTGGCGTCACGCAGCTGGAGATCTGGACCGCTATGTGGTTCTGATCCGCTACAACCACAGCGTTCTGCAGAACAAGAGCGTCTCCGCCGGACACAACGAGTGCGTCTTCTCGTCCCTGACGCCAGGGAGGCTTTACACTGTCACCGTGGAAACCTGGAGTGGCGACTACGTCAGCAGCGTCTCCACTGACGGACGAACCTGTGAGTCCAAAACACAGAAAGTAGATATAAAGTGTGTTGTGTTTTGTTGTCTGTGTTTCTGGTGACAATCTTGAGTTTCATTTTACTGCAGTTCCAGCCGCCGTGGGCAGTCTGTCGCTAGGCAACGCGGGAACAACTGACCTGAATGTCACCTGGAACCCCGCCCCCGGAGACGTGGACCACTATGAGGTGAGATTGAATCGATTCATGGACACTTTACAGAGCAGTCCCACTGATTTATTTCCTATACAGTTTCATGACTTTAATTTTGAAAAATTAACATGCATCTATTTTTGGATGTTCTGAAGGAAGTTTTCATATGAAGAGTTGGGTATCATCTGCAGATGTTGTGCTGTATTAAAGATGTCCTGCATGTATATTGAAAGTAGACCTGGGCTGATCATAACCTGAACAGAAAGTTAGTCAGATTGCATCAAAAAAGGCAGCAATTGACAATTACTGACAGGAAAATATTCACCACATCCCTTCTTGAACCTCCAGGTCACCCTGCTCTTCAACGACACTCGTGTTTTCCCTCCGGTCACGCTGAGCAGCGATGTCCGCCACCACCGGCTGACCTCTCTGACGCCCGGCCGGCTTTACAAGATCGTGGTGTCGACGTTCAGCGGGACGAACCAGAGGGCCCAGTTTATCGAGGGACGAACAGGTAGGACGGTCGAGTATCCGGATCATTTAAATGCCTCAGAGTCCAGGTCTGATGAGTTCCATCTTTCTTTCCGCCCCGTAGTTCCCAGTGCTGTGGGGAACCTCCGCCTGGTTCCTCAGCCCGGCCACATGGATTCTGTTGGAGGACTGGTGGTCTCCTGGACGCCTGGAGACGGAGACCTGGACATGTACATCGTGTCCCTGTCAACACCAGTGAGTCCAACTGCCGCTTTTACTCAAGTTACTGTACTTTACTTGAGTATTTCTGTTACATGGCACCTTTTTAGTTACAGATACAGCTTCATCATCCAGGGACGAACACAGAACATTTTACTTTAGAGTGAAATGGATGATGGACGAATTATTAGTACATGAATACAGATGAGTCATGAAAGAAGCAGGACAAGAATTACCAAAAGTACGATAAGACAAAAAGGTCTCATAAAGACAATGTACGAGGTATGATGGATTTACACGTGGATATGTACACATATAAACTGACATGATGGATAACGTGCCCACGTTTCAGTTTTTGCAGTCAAAACATTATTGAGAGAAAAGACCAGTGGATGAATTATTAATAATTCTTCCGTTGCTTCTTGTCTTCAGGACGGAGCGGCCATTGAGACTCGTCCTGTCCCCAAACATGTCTCCTCCCTGGACTTCCTGGATCTGATCCCAGGGCACGCCTACTCCATCACCGTCCAATCACTGAGCGGGATGCTCACCAATAGCAACACAGCGACCGGCAGGACAGGTGAGGTGCCAGACAGCTGATGTGATTCATCCAGCTGCGGTGATTTTACCACAGCGTTAACTTGGCTGTCGTGTTTTTCGTCTCCCAGCTCCGGCCCGAGTCACCGCCCTGCAGGCCGACAACGACCACACCACCCACAGCCTCACGGTCAGCTGGGAGCGGCCGGTCGGTGTGTTCGACGGCTACAGCCTGCAGCTGCTGGACGAAGACAGCGGCATTCTGATCAACCGATCGGTCGCGGTGACGAGTCGAAGCGAGCGGCTCGAGGGTCTGACCTCAGGGAAATGGTACCGAGTGAAGCTGGTGACGCTGAGCGGCGGCGTCCCATCGAAGGACGCCACAGCAGAAGGACAAACCCGTGAGTCGCTACAGCACCTTTACTGGGATGTTGAACCATTGAGCATGTTCTGACTGCAAGAACCAACCCAGTAGAACCTTTTTCAGGAACATCTGAGTGGTCAGACTTGGAGAGGACGAAAAATACGAAGATTTTAAACATAATAAAGACTGAAAGTAACACAGCTGCAGCAGCCAAAGCAAAAGGAAAAAACTGCAAAACTGTGTAAATGTTAACAAGCTAATCGATTATCATGATGGATCACAAGACAGTATAGCTTCATTAGAGATGTAGTCCCTTTATGTTGATAAGATAATTTCACGTTACAGCAGCTAGATACCAATGACGCACAGTAAGAGACAAGACAAGAAATACAAAAGTACAATAAAGATAAAAACAAAGACTATGTTCACCTCTTACATGTGTATAAAATACAGATTGATCCGTACAGTTGCTGTAGCTACTCCATCTTCACAGTTGCTTCTCTCTTCAGATTACAGGCATAATCAGAAATGTGTGAACTCATGAACAAAAGTGCAGCTTTATGTTATTTACAGTCTTTGAGACGTAAACAAACATTCTGACCTGAGCTGAATCTCATCCTTCAGGTCCGGCCGCAGTCGGTAATCTGACGGTGACAGCGACCAACACCTCCTCGCTGTCATTCTCGTGGAGCCGCTCGGACGGTCACGTCGACATCTACGACTTGTCGCTCTACAGCATCACTGAGGGGACGGCCAGTCACAGGCAGGGAGCAGCAGGAGGCGCGAAGGAGCATCACCAGGTGGGACTAACTAAAGAATTTAAGTTTCTGAGAGTTAAATTGTAAAAAAATATCATGCATCTATTTTATTGTTTGTTTTTTTTTTATTGTTCTCAAGGCAGTTTAAACAAGAAACTGTCTCGTTAAGATTTGGGGTGCTGGTTATCACCTACATAAAGGTGTAAACTGGTGTCTATGAAAAGATATCTTGCATGTATGTTGATTAATTAGCATTATCACAGGCTATGATGGTGTTTACTAGGATTTTACATCTGGCGATAGATACACTAACAAACCAACAAAACAAAACAGGCCAGATTTTTGGGGGTTGCAGCTAAAATACAGTAGGGTATCGTCTGCATAGAAGCGGATGTTGTGCTCTATTAAAAGATGTCATGTTTGTATTTTGAAAATAGAACTAAGCCACGTCCAGACATGTACTGATGATGTTTCAGGTAAACTGAGCTTCATGCTCGTGTCACTGTGTGGTTTGCAGGCTGCAGGTGAGCTGGTGGACCTGCAGAAGGTCGGCTCGGCTGCAGAGGGCTGCGTTTTCTCCGGGCTGCAAGCGGGAAGTTTGTACCGGCTGCAGGTGGTGAGCTGGAGCCGAGACATGAGCAGCGACTCGTCTGTACTGGCTAGAACGGGTCAGTAAACTTTTTACCACAAGGTTATTCGTAGTGGAGATATGATCGTCATTGCTTCTCCTTCATTTGATATTTTTAGGTTTTCTGGCTTCTTTTGTTGGGAATGAAATTTCAGTGTTTCATTTTGTGACCAGGTATTTCATATTGAAAATATTCCGTATATTTTGTTTTGCATTATTGCGACATGTAGCTGCATGTAGTTCAGAAAAAATATGATTTTTGATCTACGTTTCCAGTATTACATTTATAAATACATTCATCTGAATCAGTTTTCAGCATTTGTGCAATCTGACATTTGTTTCACTTTGGAGCACTTTGCGACTTTGTTTTTGAAAGGTTTCATATCTCAAAACTTCTAATTATTATTGTTCTCTTCCTCCTCTCGTTGGTTCTGCAGTTCCGTCTCCGGTTTCGTCTCTCCAGGTCCACAGTTCAGGACGGACGGACAGACTGACGGTCAACTGGCAGCAGGGAGAAGGAAGCTGGAGCAGCTACCAGGTAAACGCTCAGACAGACGGACATGATGCTAGATTCATCCAACGGAAACTACATTTTAAAAAGTGATGTCAGTTTGACTGCGATGTAAAGAAATATATCTGTGAAACATCCAAATTAAACCTTAGAACATAAATGTGTGAGCAACATCACAGTAAAAAATGTTGTTCTTAGAGGTCTTTTGCATCTTTATTATTATATTTTATATATATCACATCACAAAACGTGTAAAATCAGTGCATCCCAAAAGAGCAGAACTGCTTTGTTGCTGTGATATTTCCCAGTTTTAGTGTAAAAACAGATGACTGTGTTGTTGAGACTGTGGGATTGAATCTTAAACAAACAAGTCAATGGAGTTTTGAATGGGATTTTCCTACTCGCGTAATCGAAGTTCACACTGGTGTTAAATGTTCGTTGTGTTGTTTCGTGTGATTTCAGGTCGTGTTGTACGATGTTTCTGGAGCCACTCTGGGAGCTCAGACTCTGGGGGCGGAGCACAGGAGTCACATGTTCCCCGGGCTGATCCCTGGTAGGCTGTACCGCGCTGAGGTCATCACGCACAGCGGGGAGCTGACCAATAACGTCTCAGCATTCGGACGCACCAGTAAGTCGATAAAAACACATCAACAGAAAAGGTTTTCTTGTTGTTTTTCCACTAATGTGTTTCCTGTTTTTATTTCTTCCAGCTCCAGAGCCGCCCACCCACCTGTCCGTCAAACAGGGCCCAACCAATGACACGATAGAGCTGTCGTGGTCGGGTCCCGCCTCCGGAGACTACGACAACTTCAGCCTGCAGTGGACGCCGCCGGATCAGCTGTCGGTCACCAAGACTCACCTGACCAGCTGCGTCGTCGGCAGCATGTTCCCGGGGCGACAGTACAACTTCACCGTGACGACCATCAGCGGGGGCGGGGACAGGGGCGGGGTAACAGTCAGGAGCCAGCCAATCCAGAGGAGCGTCAGGACAAGTAGGTGGAGCTGAAAAGTCACTGGATAAAAAAATACACCAGATAGAAAAGATTAAGTTAGAATATTGCCTCATAAACATTTCAGTAATATACAAAATAGAAGTGAAATTTAATGTTGCTGAATTTATTTCTCCTTTTTAACCAAAAAAACTCATCAGTCGACCTTCATACTAAGCGGATGCACTTCCTTGTTGTCAAATGCTAATATGTTTATATCAGTGAGACAACCTTCTACAGCTAAACTAATCAGACTGACAGTGGATTTGTGGTTGGACAGAAAATGTATAATTTACATTTAAAAAAAAAAAAAAAAAAGTACTGATATCAGCTTCTCAAACTTTAATATTTGCTGGTTTGTCTCCTGCGTCTTCTCTCTAAACCAGAGACGGATTATCCACCACATTTACAGTCAAAAGCCACTTTTATTTCTTAATTAGGAGAAAATTAAAAGTGTCTTTACAAACAAGGAAATCCTTTCCAGATAATCCAGCTGATTATTGCTCTATAAACATACTTTACTTATGAAGTTATTATTTGTTTAGTTCAACCCAGTTTTATTCACACAGCATCAGTTCGTCATCTCAGGAAGCCTCACATGAAAGATCTAGACAACCTCCTTTGAGCAGCATGTTGTCTTTGAAAAACATATTTATTAGAATTAGAAGCTTTATTGTCATTAAAGTGCAGCACAAGAACCTTTTGCTGAATAAAACCTGAAAAACAAGAACAACAGGACATTTAAAACATAATAAAAACTTAAATTGAACTAATTAAAACGGCTGTATGGCAGCAGGTAAGGCGGATAGTTAAATACGAGGCCTAAAGCCCTCATATATCAGCTGTAGTTCTGTATTTCTACCACTAGATGGCAGCAGAACAAAGGCCTTAAATGTAAAACTCTCCGTCCATCTGAATCCATTTTTAATCACTTTCTGGCTGCAGGGATCAAAACTGAACCGAATAAATAAATAAATCCAGGTCACACATATTTTAAAAAAAACGACCCAGTTTCTATCTGCAGCCTCCTTCCTCCTCCGACTCGAAGTCGCCCAAAGAGGCCACGAAGGATTTACTACGTTAGGATACTGACGTCTTTCTTCTGATCCTGGCCATGCAGGATATTAACCATTTACAACTCAAATTTAGACTTTTAAATCTGAACTCAAACTTACACAAGAAGCTATTTGTAGTTGTGACGCATTAATCTCAGTTTTTGAGTTAAAAATCTAATTTAAAATAAGAATCATTATCTGTGTTAACTGGCAGAACGCTGAGTGAAAGCTTCTCTGTTTCTGCTGTAATATAAACACCTTTAGAGGTTTTTTTGTATTTAAGAGCAGATTTTTCCTGATATCAGGTTTCTATCTGCCGCGAACCACAACATGACGAATGCGTCGTCCTTCACCGTCGTCTTTCTGTCGTTTCTCCGGCGCATTCATCATCTCCTGAAGAGGCGTTTTATCGTCTGATCAGCGCAAATAAACGGAGACGTTGTGTTTATCAGCAGCAGACGGATCAGGTTCTGAATAGACACCCAGAGTTTGTTCTCCTCCTGAAGGTCAGAGAAGAACAGAACCCGAGTTTATGAGAGAAAACACAAATGGACTCGACAACCAAGAAAAACACAAACTGATTTTAAAAAAAGAACAATTGACTTGAAAATGAAGAAAATATAAACAGACTCAAAAATAACAAAGAAAACACAAACTGACTCAACGAAGACAAGCATGTGTTTACTCAAAAGCAGAAAACCAACCAACAACCCAACAACAACAAAAAGAAAACAACAAGGAAGACAAACAAACTGACTACACAACAACAACAACAACAACAACAACCCGTCCAATCACAAACTAATCCTCCTCGCTCCTCCTCCAGGTCCGTCCCCCCTCAGGGCGATCCACTGCTTCCCTCTCTCCTCGTCCTCCCTCTCCTGCTCCTGGTCGCCTCCTCACGCCGACTTCGACTCCTACGAGGTCGAGTGCCGTCGCCACGACGACGGGGAGCTGACCTCGGCGCTGAGGCTCGCGGGCGGCGTCACCGCGGTAACGCTGGACCGCCTGGAGGCGTACAGGAAATACTCAGTGACGGTCAGGGTGTCGTCGGCCGGACAGACGAGCCCGCCGGCGACGCACACGACCGTCACCATGATTGACCGTAAGAACACATTCACACAACTTTACACAACTTTACACAGCTTTACACAACACACCCTGAACTACACACTAGACCGGCTCCAACAGGTCCTCGTTGTCCTGAAGCGTCCCAGTAAGTTTAAACCCATGTTAGTCCCCACATAGATGCACACGCTAGTTTAAGTCTTAACCCTTAATCGGGCAAGAATCCATATATGGTAACTTCCTGTAAAAATGGCAGGGGGCAGAATCACATGACTTCATCCAACCAATCAACGGAGGTCAGGCTACATCACAACACAGCCTCTATGGCTTCTGACCAATCACGAGTGACACAGAGGGATATTTGGTGTATTTTTTACAATAGTTTTTCCACATAATATTTAATTTTATTTAGTTTTTTTACCCTTGAGGGCGAGGAACCGTATATAGTAGCTGCTTTGACTTTGATTTGCAGCCGAAAAAAGTCCTCTCACATCCACCAATAACAGTCTAGGTGGACATTTCTAACGTCCAAGTATTCCAAAGAGTTAAACACTGAACCAGCTCTTTTCCCAAACGTCCCCCAAAGTCCTAAACTCCCATCAGTCCCCACATAGACACACAGACAGACACACAGACACACTCTCCCCGCTCAGGTGAAGCCGTGCAGTCAGCTGTTTAAATAAAGTTCTGTTTAAATAGGACTCCTCACCAGGGACGCCCAGAGGAGCAGAGAGCAGCAGGATTAGTTTGATTCATAAATCTGTCCTCAGCAGCAGCAGCACTCGTTTCTAACTTCTCATTTACCCAACTTCATTTTAAAGGAACACTTCAGTTATTCTATATTTATTTGACTGATAACAAATCCCATTAAAAGCTGAGTGTTCCCTTCAGAGGGCAGTGAAATGACGGCTCACCTCTCTGAGTGTGACGTCCTCCCACTGTGCTGCTGAACTGGTCACAAGTTTGATGATGTTTTGCCTCCAACAGAAATCTATTTGTCCTCATGTCGGTTGTTTACCGAGACGATCACACGGTCTGAAAATGAATTCACTGGAAATAATCACCTCTTATATTATGTTTCCCTCTAAAGCTCCACTCAGTTAGAAGTTTCCCTGTAACTGGGCCACAGCCGGCGCAGCTACGATGAAAAAACAAATGACACAGGAACTTTTTTAGTGCGTGTTCACGACGGCAAACGGAGACTGTAAATAACACACTCTGTCTCCTCATCTTTGACGTGTCACTTTATTATTATTTTTTTTATCTTCGTCCTTTTGGAGGAAGTCACCGTGACCCAAAAGTCTGAAAACTTTCCTTTCTTTGTTCACGTCCGTGTCTTCCACCCTCTGCCGGCTCGCGTTGCGTTATAAATCATCCTGACACAAGTAGACTGGAAAGTGGAAAAGACAAAGAAAAAAAAAACAAACCGCGATGACACAGGAAAATCCCCGAGAAAGCTTCTTTTTCTTTAATAGGTGACAGTTCAGCTGAAAGAGAAAAGAAATGATGAAAAGAGACGAAGAGTCTCTGATGTCTGGACGGATACGGAAACTTATTCATGCAGAGGAAAAGAAAAGTTTAATAATATTTACACTCAAGTCATAATGTTCACTTTTACCTGCTCAGAGCAAAACAGTCTGTTGTAATGTTTAAAGTTTTTTTTGTGAAAGTAAGAAAAAATTCTAACTTTTTTTTTTTATATCATAAAATTATGTATACTTTAATTAGAAAATCAAAATCAGACGTACCAATTAAAAATAAAGACCAAATTATAGGATACTGTGGCAAAGTTTTTGGATGTCATGAGTTTTGTTAAGACTTTCTTGTAATGTCACAATTTTAAAATAATGAATTAATTATGAGAAAGTGTTTAAAGCATTTTGTAAACTACAAGTTGGTAAGTAATTGTGTTTACTTTTGTCATAATGTCATAATTTAAAATAATATAACTATGAGATGGCAAATTAGGACTTAAAGACAAATGCCTATTTATTATAATTTAAATTATACATAAACTGAGATTTACTGTCTTAAGTTAGTGATTTTAAAAAATAACTTTAAAATTTTTTAAAACTTTAAAAACTTTATTTGCATGTGTTTTGATTGACAGGCTGTTTAACCAATCGTGTTGCTTCCAGGTCCTCCCGTCCCGCCTTCCAGCGTCCGTGTCAGCGAGAGGTCATCGAAGGTCACGTCGTCCTCCATCTTGTTCCGCTTCAACTGCTCCTGGTTCAGCGACGCCAACGGAGCCGTGCGGTACTTCGCCGTGATCGTGGCCGAGTCCGACGGTACAAACTCAGAACAAACTCACGTTTCTGAACCTGAATCTATCGCAGTGTTTTTAACCTGGACGACGATCCAGACAAACCTCAAACTTCGAAGCTCCGGCGCTAATGAGACACGCCTCTGTCGTTTGTCCTCTGACAGCCAATGAGATGCTGCAGCCGGAGCAGCGCCACCCTCTGCCCTCCTACCGCGACTACATCAGCAACTCGTCCGTCAGAGCCTACCAGACCGACTACTTCACCAGCCGATGCCCGCAGGACGCCGAGACCTCCGCTGGACAGGTAGCAACAGAAACACTACCAAAAAAAGAAAGTTTTTGATATCTACAAATCTGCAGATCAGTCCTCAACTGAGAAAAAGAATCATTTAAATGGTATTTAACTGAGTAATTAAATGGTTGTTTGATCTTTATTAGTGTTTTACATGTAGTTTTGTTAAAGCATAACAATCCCTCATAATTAAATGTGTACATGAACAAAACAAAACAACAGCCTGGTGTGTCGGGAAAACAAATCTAATGAAAATGTCATGAAAGTTTCACACATTTAATTTCTAATAATAAAAATTATTAAAATACACTTAATAAGACAAAATAGAAATTCAGGAATGTAGAACTTGGACCACCTGGAGGCGTTCAGGAAGTCCACGGTGACGGTCTGGGTGTCGTCAGCCAGACAGACAAGTCCGACACACACGACCGTCAGAACACATTCACACAACTTTACACAACTTTACACAACTTTACACAACACACCCTGAACTGAACACTAGACCGGCTCCACCAGGTCCTCGTTGTCCTGAAGCGTCCCAGTAGGTTTAAACTCATGCTGGTCCCCACATAGATGCACCAGTTAGTACTGGGTAGAACAACAACAACAATAAATAACATTTTTCCACTCAAACAAATAAAAATGTGTGCGTACTTGTGTCCAATCAACACCTGACCAGGTGGTGGAGGTGAACCTGGGGGCGGGATCAGACCGGCTGGGCGGGGCCTGCGACCATTACCATGACGATGACCTCTACCTGAGCGACAGCTACGGCGGCTTCTGTGACGGGCCGCTGAAAGCCAAAACGTCCTACAGGTAAGAAACCCGACGCTGCTGCAGCATCGCTCAGGTGTAGTGACGAGGATCTGACCACCAGGTGTGTGTGCTGTTGTGTATGTGTGTGTTGTTGTGTTGTTGTGCAGGCTGAGCGTTCGAGCCTTCACCAGACTGTTTGACGAAAACCACAGAGAGTTTTCTCAGCCTCTGTTCAGTGACACCTACCTGTCCTCGCCGCTCAGGACCCACGCCGGTAAGAACCGACCAGAGTCCGAATGTTTTATAAAACTTTTCCTGTTCAGTTGAAAGTATAACAACTCCAAACTCTCCCAGATTTATAGTTTAAAAGTGTCATTTGACAAAGAAAACAACAAATAATCTTTTTGAAAACACAGAAATCTGCAAATATTTGTCAGATTTTTCAGTTTTTGTTAAAGAATGACTCCATTTATTTATAGTTTATCACTGTAGTTGGTTATTTTTCTGTCAGCTGACAAACTGATTAATCAACTAATTCAGTCACTTAAAGGCCCATAACCTAAATCTGACATTATTCCAACTTAAATTTACTCTGAACTCTCCCAAACCTCAACTAACTAAACTCACCCAAACCTAAACCCAACTTAAACCCGTTAACCCGACTTGAACCAAACATTATCTTACGCTAACGTCAACCTAACTTTTATTTAAACCAAGTTACAATCGCTTTAGAGAACACTAATATAACATTAATCGAAGCCTAACTTACTCAAACTTCACTCTAATCTGAATCTCAATTTAAAACTAAACTTAACGTAATTAAATTTTGAACTCAATTTGCCCTTAACCCAGATTTACTTTAATCTCACAAAAATCTTAATTTAATCTTCACTGAATTTGAATCTTAACTTAAATTTATCTTCACCTCAGTCTAACTTACTTAACCTTCCACTAACCTTAAACATACTAACCTCACAATTTAAAACTAAACTTAATTAAATTGTAAATTTAATTGTTTCTCTAAAATGAATCGACATCGTGGCTTCTTGCTATTCGTCCTTAAAGACAACGTGACCCTCCATACCGTACCTCGCTAACTTCCACCTGTGTGCTGTTGTGCTGCAGAGCCTCTAGGTGGCGTCGTGGAGGGTCTGAGCGCTGGTATGTTCCTCATCGGGATGATGGTGGCCATCGTCTCCCTGCTGGTCTACAGACAGAGGCTACGCAAAGTGTGAGTAACGTATTTATACTCGTCATGTGTTTAGCTAACCTGCTGTAGAGTCCTGCAGTTACGACTAGAAGGTCTGGATGATGGAGAGTCTGGTACATGGACTGGTCCTTACAGCTCATGTGGACTGTTGGAAACTCGGTTAAATGCTGATAGTTGTTCTCATAGTTTAGTCGTAGCAGCTTGAGTTCCTTGAAGACGTTCCACCTCCATCCAAGAGGCTTCATCAGGTCTGACTGACTGGTTGGGAGTTCCAGATATCCTGAAGGAACCATCTACGTCCAACTGGAAAGACCATCCCTCTAGAGGTGGAGGTCTGAGGCATCACCTCTCACCTGTTTACAGTCCTCAGATCTCTCCCCAGGAAGATGAACCCACATCCACACCGAGCCACAAAGACCCTAACGAACCCCACTGTGTCAGGGGGAGCACTAACGACTCACATAACGAGGGGGAGGAGCAACAAACCCCCAATTAAAACTCAGGTGTTAATGTCTCCTTCAGGATCTCAGTATCTGGAACTCCCAACTAGTCAGTCAGAGCTGATGAAGCCTCTTGGATGAAGGTGGAACGTCTTCAAGGAACTCAAGTCCACTTGATGAATCTACCAGAAGAACCAGGACCTGGAGGACTGAGAACCTCCACAGACATGCAGAAAACGTGACTCGACCTTTAAGGACTCGACTGCTCTGATCTGTAAAGCTAGCTTTGAGTCTGCACTTTCGTTTGGCGCCACATCAGCAAAATGAGCTCCACAAAATGTCACGTCGGTTCCTCGCGGTCGCTTAATCGCGGTCGCGTAAAGCTAATTTATGGAGCTAATTACTTGTATTTTGTAAACACATTAATTAGCGCCGGGTTAACTGTTCTAATTTGTTCATTATGAAGTGAACTCTCTGGGCTGTGCAGGGCCGTGCAGGAGAACCCGGTGGTGAGGATGAGCATGTGGAAGGAGGTCCCGGCGTCGGGGATGTACGTCGGCGTCCGGAGGTGAGTGCGACCCGTAAACCCGGAGACGTTTAGTTTCCAACACGCGGCCGAGTGAATTACGAGCTCCAGCGAGGCCTCGTGTTTCAGCGCCGCGGCCGTTAATCAGACGGGCGTGTTTGTGTTTGCAGCTCGTTAGCCGGCAGCTCAGGAGACACTAATCATCCTGAAGCTTTTAGCTGCTGACGTAGCGTCACATTAGATATAGAGGCTCCTCCACGGTGGACACCAGGACGGATCGTCAGCTTCATGTTATAATTAATTAATAAAACAGCAATCAGTCGATAAAACGACAAACAAACTGCATCAACAGATAGTTGTAACGTTCATCAGCTGACCTCCAGGTGTTCCTCGTTCTCTGAGAGGCCTAATTAACCCTGAGTGTCGTTTATTTATGAGGCTCGTCCTGTTTTTATTACGTCATTATTTAACATAAACGAGCTCAGATGACTGGATTGTTCTGCAGCTTGGATCCACGACCCGGAAGAACCTGCAGAACCATCTGAGAACAACAATAAAGACTCGTCTGCATCGTTTAGGGTTTTAATTTAATCTTAATTAACTCCCAGCTGCTGTTCTTTTAGTTGATTCATTAGTTTGTTTGTTTGTTTTTTAATTTAAATGTTTTTTAATTAACAAATGTTTTCATTATTTCACTTCATTGTGAACCAGGTTTCTTATTTCTGCTCCTTCAGTCGTCCTCAGATTTATTCATCTCGTCCCGTTAACGAAGGAAAAACAAACAAACAAACAAACAAACTACTGACAAAAGTATTAATAAATAAAAATTTAATTAAAATCAGGACGTTGATTTTGGATGATGGTTCAACAAATATTTATATAAAAAATAAAATAAAAATAAAAAATACTTCTGACAGGTTTTCTGACCCACTGCTCATCAGCCAAGGCCTCTCATTGGTCCAGGAAAGTTTTTTATTTTTTATTTTTTTACATTATTCTTTTCAACCACAATTCAAAAGCAACGTCTTAAATTATAATTTCGCACATTTTTATTTATTATTACTGTTTCCAGTTTCTAGTTATTTGAGGGACTTTTTTGAGTTTTGTCTTATTTAATGGTCGACTGAACAACTTTTATTAGTTATACTGTAAGCGAGGCGTCCACTCTTTAGTTTACTTTGAGTTTAAATAAACCTTAAATAAAAGAACAAATGAATAAATGAATAATTCACACACGTAGTTTATTGTTACAGTTAAACTGATGTATATCTAGCCTACAGCGTGAACATTAATCTGTTTCTGTTTCCTCCTGCAGCAACCGTCGTGTCACCAGGTCAGACTTCTGCTTTTATTTTTAATATAAATGTTGAATTATGAAGTTTGTTAACGTGCAGGAGAACTTATATTCTCCGTCTGTCTGCTCAGTCCCATCAAAGCGTGTCACTTCGAGTCCCACCTGTCCAAGCTGCAGGCCGACTCCAACTACCTGCTGTCAGAGGAGTTCGAGGTAAATTCATCACATTTAGTTTAAACATGAGAATATGGAAAAAAAACTCAGTGAACATTCGTACTGATCAGCTATAAATACATTCAGATGTCTTCAAATAAACAAAAAACTGAGTTTACCGTCATGTTTGACAACAATTATAATTATATTTTATTAGTTTTTTATATCTGTAATTAAAATAATTCACATTTCAGCAGAAATAATTATTTTATTTAAATGTTTATTGTCGTTATTTTATTCCGTATATTAGGATAAATGGTTTCCAGGATTCATTCTTTAATGGAGCTTTTTCATTTCAGCTGCTCGACTCTGAAGGTTTTTTCTCGTTTCCTCCCGTTATGTGACAGTAAAGTTTACTTTGAGTTTGAAGCTGTTGGTCGGACGTCTCCGCTGTTTCCTACAGGATTTAAAAGCAGCTTCATAGAAAGTTTTTAAGGAGTCGGATCCACTAATCGCTGTAACTGATCTCGTCTGCAGGACCTGAAGGACGTCGGACGCAACCAGACGATGGACGTGGCCCGACTGCCCGAGAACCGAGGGAAGAACCGCTACAACAACATCCTGCCCTGTGAGTCTAATCATTAATAATTAATAATAATTAAGCTGCAGGACTTCTGGAGGTTTCGTCGCTTTAACGCTCGCTGCAACGAAGAAGTCAGAAGATAACAGGATGATAATTTATTGGGAAAACTCTGCGATCGAGTCGCTGTGTGAGGGAATAAAAAAAAGAAATGATTATAACGACGTCGTTAGGAGCTTTAATTAACTGCTGTTTCCATGGAGACGGCGATGCACCGAGGGCTGCTAAAAATATTAATAACTAAAGACGAAGGTTTGTTCTGCAGCAGGAACTAAAACAGAGAAAAAGTGAACGTACAGGTTCTGGTGTTTGTTCTGCTGTTAGCGCCTCCTTCCTACAGTTACTCTTCATTTATTCCTCATTTCTTTCTTTTTATCTTTAGACTTTTCTGTATTTTTATTCCTTTAAATATTCAACCTGCTCACAGAATAGCAGCAGATCACAATTTAAATGAACCGTCTGAACCCAGAACGGGTTGAAAAGTCCTGATAGTTTGTTTTTCTTCTAAAAAAAATCATCAAAATAACCAAAAACTGTAAAATGATAATCAATCGATCCTTGAATGTGCTCGTCTATTTAAAACTGAACTAAATCTAAACTTGAAATCGGGATATTTCATCTAAATCCCTAAACCCAGATGTCTGGGTTGAAAAAAAAACAGTCAAAAATGAACCAAACGCACCAGATTTTTTAAAAGCTTCTTCTTTTCTCGGCACCACTGATTCTCCAACATGCATAATAATTCAGACGCTATTGGGCTGAACTGCAGGCAGTGTTCACAGAGAAGAGACGAGGATGGACAGAGAACTAAAACCCAAATAGTTCAATACCTGCTATATAAAAACATTTGTCCAGTGTTGGTAACACCTGAGGACACGTGGAGTAAAAGTCAGACGTGTTGATTCTATTTAAGAAAAAAAAAAAAGTTTCTGTCAAATAAATATCCATCCATCTTCTCCCACTTATCCGGAGTCGGGTCGCAGAGAAGTAAAGAGCAAAATAAATAATCAAAGAATTTCAACTTTTGTTTTTGTTTTTTTCTATTCCTGTGATTTGTGTCATTGTGCAGTCGTATTAAAATGTTAAAGGAGCAAAAACAACCAGAAAGTTTAAATTTACCGTCAGACAAGACGGTTAGGAATCTGGATGCACAGGGTGATTAGCATAAATTAGCATAAATTAGCATGAATTAGCATAAATTAGCATGAATTAGCATATTTACTTGAAAGGTGACTTCAAAGAGTTCCCAGTTTAATCAATAAACTGATTGTTTCAGTTTTGTTCGTGACATATTTGTCCTGCTGGCTTCAGAAAGAAAGAAAAACACGTCTTCATCGATCAGGTTTTCAACACAACATCGTTGGATCAACCAGACAAACTATCCAGACTCACACTGGTTCGGTTCTGATCCGTCCACAGCATTCATGACTCATGATGTTTATGACGTGACATGAGTCTGTTTTATTTCCTTCATTAGTTCTCGTTTTAATAAGTTTTCATGGCGGCTGCAGAGCGATGAAGCTGCTTACAGCCGCTCTGCTTCTGTCTGACTGTAAATGAAGTCATTAAGCGTCGGTCGCCTGTAGCCCAACAGAGGAATCTGATTTGTGACCGGAGGCGACGCCGTAATTAAGCGTCACACACAAGCTAACGGTGAAATGAATCACCGCCGTCGTGAGTCACAATCAACATTTTAATAAACATTCTCGCCTCAGAAAACCTGCTAAATGATGTGCCTTTAGAAAATGACAGATTCATTATTTTACAACAAATATTCACATTTTTAACCGTCAGACGGCGAATAAAGGCTTCTGGCTGCTGGAGAACGTTCACATGAAGGTAAAAGGAGCCTCAGAGGTAGTAGTTAGTGTTTAAACTAGAAGGAATCAGTTTGAAAAGACGATCTGATGATTCAGTTCGCTGACCGGGAACACCTTCAATAACTCTGTGTTTTATCTGGCTTCATGTTGGTGAATGAGGAGATCTGATGCTTGAACGACGGCCTGATTGGCAGAAAATACAAACGCACTGACTGATCGATTATTCTGTTTAGAAGAATCCCTGATTACAACTAAAGTAAAATAAATATCAGTAGGTGGAAACTCGTTAAGATGCTCCAACATCAACAAGTTCTGTCAAATATTTTTGGCTGAATTTTTTTTAGAATTTACTATATTTTCAACAAACATGTCTCACCTCTGAAGAAGTTTTGAGGGTTCAGACCTGAAATCACAGAATTTTTCCATTTTTATTGGACTTCACTCACATAAATGATCTCTGTGGCTGCTAACATGTTAGCATGTCAGTTTTCTAAAGCAGCCAGGAGGAGGTGGAGACCAAAGATGGAGCTAAAAGGGGGTAAACATGGGACTGCACTGGGTGGTAGAGCTTCTCTGTGGCTGTTCGATGAGCTAGCAGGTAGCTAACATGTTAGCATGTCAGTTTTCTAAAGCAGCCATGATTGTGATTAGGAGGAGGTGGAGACCAAAGATGGAGCTAAAAGGGGGTAAACATGGGACTGCACTGGGTGGTAGAGCTTCTCTGTGGCTGTTAGATGAGCTAGCAGGTAGCTAACATGTTAGCATGTCAACACACATCAGAATCAGTCCTTCACCTGGCGGGTTTTTAACTGCTCAGATATTTGCTAGATTTCCGGCGCACTGTGACGTAAAAGCATAAACAACACGACGGACTTTGTGTGTTGACAGGAAGTTAACAGAACCAAACGACGAGTCTGTTTGGGTTCATGGATGTTTTCTTTTGCAGACGACTCGACCAGAGTGAAGCTGTCCTACCTGGAGGACGACCCGTGCTCCGACTACATCAACGCCAGCTACATCCCGGTACGAACGCGACGCCGCACACGCCGAACACAGAGACGCTGGCTGACATGAACTAACACTTCTGTCCTGATCAGGGGAACAACTACCGGCGGGAGTACATCGCCACCCAGGGCCCGCTGCCCGGAACCAAAGACGACTTCTGGAGGATGGTGTGGGAGCACGGCGTCTACAACGTCGTCATGGTGACGCAGTGCGTGGAGAAGGGACGGGTAGGAAGCCGTAACGTTCAGAACCTCCTGATGATGCAGCTTTATGTATTAAACTTTGCTTTAAGAGAGAATCGATGTCTTCTGCCGTCGCTGTTCCGTCTCACAGTCAGAAATCATCAGATCGATGTTGTTACAACCTAATCATGTAAATTCAGCCTCTGAGGGCTTCACGCTCTCATTAAGGACAAACTCCCAAAACTCCTTCGACTGATGGTCGCTGATTAGTTTTCTGTTGATTGAAAACGAGATGAATCAGTTAAAACACCTGAAAACTTAAAGCATGCCCACTGAGGCCGCCACTGTTTTAATTATCAGTTAATGTGTTGATTATGTTTTTATTTGTTTACTTGTTAAAATGTCAGTTAAAGGTTACTGGAGATGATGAAAGCATTTATGATGTAAACTAAACTTTTACCTCTTTATTTAAATATAATGAACCAAAACATGGAACACAGACGTCCTGCCTATTATTTTGTGTTAATCAACTTTAACGTCTGTCTAATACGTGAACAGAGACGTTGGATGGAGGAGAATCTAATCAGATTATTGATTAGACGACATCTGAATAAAACAGCTAAAATGACAGTTTTTGTTTTTTTAATTATTCTTTTCAACCACAGTTCAAATCAACGTCTCATTTCACTAAATTATAATTTAGCAATTTTTTATTTATTATTACTTTTTCCAGTTTCTACTTATTTGAGGGACTGTTGTGAGTTTTGTCTTTTCTTTAACGGACGACCGTCCATCAGACTTTAAGACTCGACGTGTTCTGGTTCCACCCGTCAGACTCCAGCGGGTCAAACAGACCTGATCGAGTGTTGACCTGACTGAACGCTGTTTGCAGGTGAAGTGTGACCAGTACTGGCCTGCGGACAGAGAACCTCTGTACTACGGAGACCTGGTCATCCAGATGCTGTCCGAGTCCGTCCTGCCCGAGTGGACCATCCGAGAGTTCAAGATCACGTCGGTACGAGTCTCTGCTCCTCACAGCACCTCCTTCCTCCTCGTAGAGTTCAGAGATTTTATTAACGTCAACTTTACATAAAAAAACACTGAACATGTTGAGTTTTACACCGACAGCATCAAACCTGTAGCACCTCAGCTCATCTCCTATTGTAGAACATGTCAGGCAGCTGTACGGTATCGTTAGGACGACAGGAAGTTAACGTACCCGGAGTCATCATGTCCAACATTAGTGTCCATGGATCTGACCAACATGGAGGCTCCACTTACTGTTCACATGATTTCAGCCTCTACAAACTGCAAAAACCACAAATCTGTGTCGAGGTGTTGACGGACTATCGGCCACATGACTCTCATCCCTCCTCATAATAATAACAATAAAACTTATTTAGCTCTTTTCAAGACACAAAATACAACCTTCAGACTAAAAGAGACTCAGAACTGTTCATGTTTTTGGTCTCTTTGGGGTCATTTTGTGAGTTTTTGACTTTCAAACTAAACTAAGGTGAAGAAAAACCTCCATGACATCACGACTTAATGAATGTTTTGGGTGTTACTGTTGGTTTGTCACTCTTTGTTCGGTACCGTCCATCCAGTCAGACTTTATGTGGACTTAAAAACCCTCGTTAACACCGGGCCGTTACCCCTGACAGGAGAGCGGCTGCAGCTACCCGCGGGTGTTGCGTCACTTCCACTACACCGTGTGGCCCGACCACGGCGTCCCGGAGAGCACCCAGTCCCTGATCCAGTTTGTCCGGACGGTCCGGGACTACGTGGACCGATCGCCGAGCACCGGAGCCACCGTCGTGCACTGCAGGTAGGTACCGGTTCTGAAAGATTAGCAGCTTGGTTCAGTTGGTTTGGGTTCTGAGAGGTTCTGCTGTGTTTTTGTGTGTCAGCGCTGGAGTCGGCCGCACGGGAACGTTCATCGCTTTGGACCGGGTTCTGCAGCAGCTGGACTCCAAAGGAACCATCGACCTGTACGGCTGCGTGTTCGACCTCCGGCTGCACCGCCAGCACATGGTCCAGACCGAGGTACCGACCCGACCCGACCGCAGAGGGTCTAAAACACCAGGAAACACTAAAGTAGAGCTGAACAAGTGTTAATACTGGATAAACCAGAACTAAAAATGTTGATACTGGCCTGAAATGGGTTTAAAAGTCGTAAATGTTGGACTAAAGCAGAACTAAATCTGTTGCTGCTGCACTGAAACGGTTTAAAAGGAGTAAAATTGAACTAACGTAGACTTCAAACTGCTGATATTGGCTTAAAATGGGATTAAAAGTCGTGAATATTGGACTAAATTAGAGCTGAAACAGTTGATTTTGGGTAAAATCAGGTTTAAACCAGAAGTAAATGTTGGACTGAACTGTGTAAACATCAGTAGATTCTGGACGACCGTAGAACTGGAACAGATCATCGTTCTGAGGTCCAGAGCTCCTCATGTGAAGCATTAAATACCTGTGAACTGTGTTTCAGTGCCAGTACTCGTTCCTGCATCAGTGTGTCCGCGACGTCCTGAGAGCCAGGAAGCATCGCAGCGAGCAGGAAAACCCTCTGTACCCCATCTATGAGAACTTCAACCCCGAGTACTGCCGAGGTGAGAACAGAGAACAGAACCACACGGCTGATGTTCAGACTGTGGCGCATGTGGAGGCTGAAACTCTGTCCAGCTGGTTTCCTCTGCAGCAGCAGAACTAATCAATGCATCCAATCAGTTCATTAGTCAGTTACCTCGTTAGAAGAACTTACCTGGTAACAGCTCTGACCATCAATAGATTGCTTTTTAATATTGCTGCTCAAAGTTTCCTACATTTGAACATCAGTTGAGTATTTTCCAGTTTTTCATTCTTGATCACATCCAGTCACGTTAAACAAAACTTTAAATCCAAAACGTCTGACTCTGTTTGTGTTTCCTCAGATTTCATCTACACCGGACGCTGAAGACACGACACAAACGTCTCCGACTAGCTTCAGACAAAACAGAGAAAATCTACGAGTTAATAAAACGTCATCAGTTTTTACCTCAGAGGGGATTTAATGTCAACGGAGTCTCATCAGCACAACAGTTGTTTTTCTTTTTCATGTTGTTCTCGAGCAAATTTAAACTTTTTAAAGTGTTTTTTGAAAAAATTCCAAAAGGAAATGTGAATTAAGTTCTCCAGAGTGGCCAGGAGGTGGCGCTGTAGGCTGTAATAAAAGGAGTAGAAGAAGACAAACTAAACACGTCAGAAGAAAAACAAAACTTTGTAAAACTATGAGAGTAAATTAGAGAGAAACGTTTGGGAACTGTTCTCAGTGTGGAAAGTTGTAGTTACTCTGTAGCGCCAGCAGGTGGCGGCCATGTTTGACACTGGCGAAGAAAACAAAAGAAACGGCCGATCGAATGTGTTTCCATCTAACCTGAGGATTATTAACGCTTTAGAAAAAGTCCAAAACCCTCAAACACGTGAAATTGAAAACGTTTTCTTTAATTTTTTTTGTTGTTATCGACTGTTTTTAACGCGACACTTTAAAAAGTTGTGGTTAAAAGTAGTTTTATTAGAAACCGTTTTCACCGTTAGAGTCTAAATCCCAGCACCGAAAGCAGCTAGCGTCTGTTAAAAATAACCCCCACGTAGCGTTTTAACAACTTAACTTCACATCGTGAACAACTTTAACATGTTTACTGACAAAAAGTGCGAATAAATAATCGTTCCAGTAAAAATCCTGATTAACTTTTTATCCCCGTTCTTCACATTTGGTCTGAATCTGAAAACCTTTAGTTAAACTCGGTAGAAGCGAGGGCTGATCTCAGGTGTTCAGGTGTTCTCTAGTCCACAGGTGAGTGATGGCAGATCTATTTTTCTACCTTCCATTACTACTGTCTGCTCTCACTCACTGCTCCATATAAGCTCGTTATTTAAAACCAACCTACACGTATTGCTGTATGTAAATATTGGTGTCATGCTCTGTTTTTATATATGATCGTAACGTATCTGTCCGTCAGGTTTGTGTCGTGTTCCTCGTGTATGAAGCTGCAGATCGAGCTGCTGCCTTCAGACTTTAACTTCCTGCCTCATGATAGCTTCGTTATAAAGAATAAACTTGCACAGATGTACTCATTAAGTTCTTAATTAAGCCTCTAAGCTTCTCAGATTAAAGTCTGAATACAACACAGGAACCGTTTTGGTTTTAAAATCCGTCACAAATTGGAATTCACCTGAAAAATAAAATAAAATAAAATAAAATAAAATAAAATTAGACGTTTTTGTGTCTAAAGAAAAAAAAATCTGATCTTGTATAATTTTAAAATTTTAAAATTCAAGAAAAATCCCATTTGTCATCAGAAATGATGGAATATAATTTGAATCACCTGCTGGAGGATTTGATGTTTTGTTTTTTTAAGATGTATTTTTTCATTTATTTTAAATAGTATAATTATTAAGAACACAGGGTTGGGTTAAATATCCAGTATTATGATATAACACTGATAAGAATACGTCTGACTCGTGATTATAAGCTGATCAAATCAGTGATTAAAGGTGTTCACTGCACATAGGACCTGATTATTTCTATATCGTTTGCATACGTTGTGACATATTCTGGATGTAATGTTTGATTCGTCAGACTGATTTCAGTCACGTCTGTTTTTATAACTCGCTGTGACGTCGCTGTAAACTGGATTATAGAGCGCAAATTAAAAATATCTTCCAAAGTGTGTTTGGGTTTCAGTTTTTGTCCGAGTGGAGCAAAAAGTCAAATTCTAACGAGTCGTGCGAGTCGTTTTATAACCGAACATATGACAGCAGGTCAGAGGACTCGTGCTTTGACAAGTCATATAACAGATAGAAGGTCATATTATGTCATAACAAGTCATCTCATAACAGGTCAGATGATAAAGTGTCATATGTCTGTGGAGGTTCTCAGTCCTCCAGGTTCTGGTTATTCTGGAAGATTAGTCGTAGCAACTGGACCTGCTTGAGTTCCTTGAAGACGTTCCACCTTCATCCAAGAGGCTTCATCAGATCTGACTGACTAGTTGGGAGTTCCACATACTGATGTCCTGAAGGAGACGTTAACACCTGAGTTTTAATTGGAGGTTTGTTGCTCCTCCCCCTCGTTAGTGCTCCCCCTGCCACAATGGGGTTCGTTAGGGTCTTTGTGGCTCGGTGTGGATGTGGGTTCATCTTCCTGGGGAGAGATCTTAGGACTGTAAACAGGTGAGAGGTGATGCCTCAGACCTCCACCTCTGGAGGGATGGTCTTTCCAGTTTGGTCTGGTTTGGTTTGGTCAGTCTTCAGGGAACTCAAGGAAGTCCAGTTGCTATGATTAATCTATGAGAATTTTAACTACTCATGTGGGCTGAACAGTTCCACCAGAAGAAACCACCAAGTCTTAAAATCCTGCTACTGCATCAGAATCCCTTTCATGTACATATTTAGGGTCCGAGGACTCTAATAAAACTCCTCAAAGTTCAGACTCACAGAACGACTCAGAGGAAAAAAGCTTCTTCATTATTTTTTCATGTGGTCTGACAAACTGATTTCCATATTGATCTGGGGCAGAGAGAGGCTGCAGCAGAACTGGGTTAGCCCACATACAGCAGCCATCGGGGGGCTGGGAGCCGAGGCCAGGAGCCCGTCAGAACCAGAGTCCCGGTGGACCCAACATCCAGCTCGGCTCAGACCTGCTGCAAACTTAGAAACCGTCCCAGGACCCGGAGGACCCAACACGAGTCCAGCCGGCCAGGAGCCGCCGTCACGGCAACACAAACAAACAAACACAAACAAACAAACAAACAGAAAGCAGACGGGTTCAGCATCGATTCATGTGTCAGCTTCTTAAATGTGAATGTTTTTTAATGACTTTGCTCCTCAGTGAGAACAAACTGGATAACTTTGGACGTTTGTCATCCTGGGCTTCATGTGAACGTGTCATCTGCATATATTCAGGATTAAATCGGGTCTCTTTGTTCTGTTCATGGCCTTTACTTCACAGATGCTGCACTGAAGACATTTATTATTAACAACAAACCAGCAGCAGCTCTTATAAACGTCTGCAGCTCGTGAGCTGCTGATGAATCCAGCAGACTTTGGTTTTAAGTCGTGCTCCTGATCTTCTCTGCTTTCTGCTCTGAACTCTGCCGGGAGGCGCTGATGTATGGACGCTTTCTGCTGATCCGGCTGCTGGTTCTGTATTTATGGGCGGCGTGTCGGAGCAGCAGAGGTGTTAAACGGCCACAGAGGACCGAGAGTCGGCAGCTTTTTAATCCGGCCGCTCTGATGAGTCCGTGGAAGTGAGAAGCTCCAAGGACGCCGAGAAATTAGCCCGAAACAAAGAGCTGCTCTGAGCCCAGGAGGCAGAACGCTGGTCAGTAAATAAGGTTTAGAAACGCTAATCGTCAGCTGGAAGTCATCAGTCAGCATCCGTTGGTCTGCTGTTTAGAACAGAAAACTTCTTGGAGTTCAAAGTTGTGAAGCTTTTTAGCTGCACTGACCAAAAATATTCAGTTTACTGCCACAGAGGAGGAAAAAAACAGAAAATATTCACATTTAAGCTGAAAAAAACCTCCCAAACCAACAAATCAGTTTCCAGATAGTTGATGATTAACTTATTTGACATTTAATCAACTAATCGTTGCGTTTCTAAGTTTAAACATCTGATAAAACACTTGAAGCTGCACTAGTCTGTGGCCGCCTCGTAATTGTTCTTTTTTACGCATCTAAACAGCTTCTTGTTGAATAAAACCCAAACGAATCCCTTAAACTACATTTAATTAATTTGAAAAGTGCTTATAAATAAAGTCAGATGGATAAATACTGGAGCTGCAATGATTAATCAGTTAGTCATCAAATGTTAAATAAACTTTTTGATAATCGGTTTAAGTCACATTAAAGGAGTTCGGTAGAAAATAAAACTTATTTTAACTTTGCAATTAAACATAATTAATTAACGATTTACGGACATTTTACTGATGTTTGCTCTTTAAGAACTGCATTTAAATCAGTGAAATTAGAATTATTTCACAGATTTTAGCTGTTTGAGAGGTTTATATGTGAGTTTGCAGATTTTCCCAGACAATAACTACCAACATCATTCATACAAAAACCCAATAAAATAAACATTTCTGTACTAAAAGGGATGTTTTTTTTATAAATTATTCTGACAGATTTCATATATTTACATCATGTTTGTGTGACTCTGAGGTGATAATCTGTGAACTTCCTGATATTTTAAAGCTGGTTCCAGATTAATACGTTAGATTTTTATGTTTATTGACGTTATTTTTCACCAAATTACAATAAAAATAAACCAATAAAACCGCAGAATAAACATATTTTTCCTTCTTGTTGCCAGAGTTTTAGTTTTTAATGATTATTTTCTGCAGCGTCTCTAAGAGTCGTTGAATATTCATTGATCGCTATCAGTCCGATCGGCTCCATTCATCGCCTCCGTCTGAAGGTTTATGAATGAAAGATAAAGGAGGCGATGAAAGGAAGCTGCTCTTCCTCCTCGTCGCTCTTTGTTCTCATCACCTCGGCTGATTTAATCAAACCGTCCTTCCTTGATTTTAAAATGTTCTATATTTCAATTTAAAGGTCTTTTATTGTGAAAATCTGTTCTCATTGTGTTTCGTTTTAAACTCTGAGGCGTAAAATAAAAGCTGTTTAGATTTCCAGATGTTTTCTTCTGTGTCTCCGTCCGTCAGGATTGTTCTGTTAAACATCAGAACCACAAACAAACCAGACTTTTTT